AATACACAAATAATTTAACTAAAATTAATATATATAAGTATTCAAGTAACAATTTTATAGAACGATAGTGTCAATATTATCAAAATAAATAATTGAAACCATACTGTAATTTTAATTTTAAATTTAAATTTAAGCTATTCTTTTATAACACACATTGTACCGTCAAATATTTTTTGAAAAAAAAAATAGCACGTGTATTGCACAGGTCAACTACTAGTAATATATTAAATCTATCTTTTCAAAATCAATGAGACTAATTGATCTTATAAGAAAATCATTGGGACTAAACGGATCACCATTTCTCAAGATAAAATTTATAAGTAAAATTTTCAAATAATAATAATAATGATAATAGTGATGATTATCTTAAAAAGGCCCACCAAATTAAAAAATTAATTGTCTGATTGTCCTCCAAGAATAAAGATAGTAAAGTTCAATCCCAAAGCAATTAAAGACAAAATTGATAACAAATATTATTCTTCCAAATTAAACACAATTCAAAACAACCACTATACTGTGGTAACAACTGGCGTCATGATAAGTAACAAACATCATAAAAAGTCTAATAATTGTTGATAAAGTCTAATAACATTCAATGGCTCACCACAAGAACAAACAAATCGTGGATGTTTGTAAATATTGCACATTCAAAATTTTATTTAAAAATAATGTGTAATTCAAATTCAATCTATGTATAAAGCTTTCATAATACATTATTTGAATCCTGGGTGCTGAAGTCTCCAATCCCAATAAATTAAAAGACTTCAACGAACAATCAAAAGATAAAATAAAAATTTTCCAACAAGCCACAATTAATCAAATTCATTTTATGTTTATATAATGTTCCATACATATGCAAATTGATAGTGTGTATATATATATATATATGAAAAAGTATACATAAAAACAGAGAAATTTCTGAGGTCTTTGCTTTGTCTAATCAAAGTGTAATTCATTCTCGATCAATCAAGACAAAGATTTTTCTTAATTACTGAATTGGAATTGTCATAAAAAAAACATTAGGATTTATGAAAGCCTAGTGATAATCTCTATTACAGTGTTGTATTCTTTTGCAATTTTGGATGTGAATGAAACAAGAGTCTAACAAATAAAAGCATTCATAAAAATTTCGAAAGACTACAATTCTATGAAGTTCCACGAGATGCCAATTCTTTTCCTCAAACCAAAATACCATCATTTGGCATCCTGTGAGCATATCCACCATATTGACGATTCCAACGACGGAGGCAAGCAAGAGAAATACACGATCCAGCGAAGACAAGAACCGCCATCACAAGGAAAAACTTCTGCTCCATCACCTCTTTCACCCAAGAAAGCCTGCCCAACTCTGTATTTGAATCTTTTCCAGTTCTGCTCTCAATTTCATTTTTTGTGACCCTACCGTCGTACCATGGATATAGTAGGGTCTGAAACGCAGGATCAAAGAAGTCCTCCACCCCATGAACAATCACATGCCCATTGTTGTAGATATCCCAATCTGTAACCTTGACTCCATTAATGGAAGCGTGATCGCTATGATGGGGTGTTGTAGTAACCACAAGTGGGTGATAGGGAAGGAGAGTATCGACCATGGATTCGTATGGAAGAGAAGACTGAAGAGCCTCCCTATCAAGCCTTAGCGGTGCAACGTGGTACTGCAGGAGGGTAAATGGTGGCTGAGGGTACTTGGAAGACAAGAAAGCCTTATCAAGTGGGCAGAATATGGTGATTGTGGTATTGTGGGTTACTTCGGAAGGTATCAATGTAGGGAGGATTTGTTCGAGAATTAAGGACATGGCTATTTTTTTTTTTTTTTTTTTTTTTTTTTTTGATCGGCAAAAAGAAGTCTTTATTGATGAAATATAAGAAGAATTACATCAATAAAGAGTTGGTGAGAAACCAACAGAGCAAAAACCAGAGAATCAGACAATCAGCTAATGGAAACTGCAGTCCAAACCAGATAACTAGTACTCCAGCTAAGGGAGATTACAGTCCAAAGCTAAGAAACTAGGCCAATCCCCAGACTGCAGCCCTATAGTCATTCTGCTAACTTAGACCAACACTCCTTGAAGTTTTTAATTACCAGATCCTTGCAGATCATCAAACAGCAGACCAACATGAGGCCTGTGCAAGCTTCAGCTGGGCACAACAACCAATTCACAGTCCAACAGCCAAACCATTCAGACCAACAGCCAATTCAAACCAACAACCAAACCATATACAGCACCTGGGCACAACAAACACTTTAACAATGTAGACACATCAGCAGAATACTAGAATTGATGACGAATCAAAAGCTCCAGAATCCACTCCACAGTCCAAAGCATCAAGAAGCACCCCTGGAACCATTCCCCAAGCAAATCTGATGTGCTCCAAATTAAAATGAATTCTTGTTATTGTTGTTGTTATTGCAACTCTTTTTTGTTTGGGTGTTTAATTGTCTTCCACAGCGCATCTTAGATTAAGCAGTCCATCACACAGCAGTCCTGCAACCTGAATCTGAGCAGCCCATCACACAGCAGTCCTGCAACCTGAATCTGTGCACCCAGCACACAGCAGTGCAACCTGAATCTGAACCACACTCTTAAAACAAGCTGCCCATCCCCTGCCCACACCCTGCAACCCAGCCTGCTGTCACTTACTGCCTTTGAATACTTCCAGCATTCAGTCTTATCTGGTGCAGATTTGATACCAGATCATGAACTGAATAGTCCACCTTGAAAAACCATTTTACCCATAGAGCTATTTACTGCGTTCCATTTTACCCTTGTTGGATAAGACACTTGAGATCATCCCAACATTCAACCCGTGATCATGGTGGTTAGTTTCTTGAGCAGCTGTTGAAATAGTGGGTCGTGGAAGGATTGAAAGAAAAACAAGAAGAAGAAAGGCAAGCGAAAGCTTGGATGCCATGAGGAAAAACAGTAGATTGATAAGGAGAAGTTGAAGAAGAATAGGGAGAAGTGTAAAAGATCTGAGAGCAATGTATGTATTGTAGAATGTAGTATTTGTATAGATTGAGATCCCCAACTAGGACTTATATATATAACTACATTGAAACCTTGTCCAGATAGGATTAAAAGACCTAGTAGATCAAGGTTTCCAAAAACAATCACACGTTTAGGAAAAGACCTAGTAGACCAGCTCCTAATAGATTAAAAAAAAAAAAAAACTTTAATTACAAATTTTAAATGGAAATGTTTTTATTAATGTGAACTTGCTATCTTTGTGTCTCATTAAAACACTGTTTTGTTTTGTTTCTTGATTTTTAAAAGAGTCTTAATTTGTTAGCTTAATTTTTAGGTTAGTTTGCACTACAACAATCCATTTTAAATCTAATTCATCATTAATATGGAACTTTCTAAATTTTGAGTCCATAAACGAGTTCAACTGCTTTGCCAAACCCAATGCAACACCTCCCAAACAAACAGATCATTTTTTTTTTTTAATGAAATTCACCAAATTTTTTAAAAAAAGAAATTAAACAGAATTTACCGAACAGCCAAACCTTTAAAAAAAAATTAAAACAAATTTCATCCGAAAAAAAAAATTAAACAGAATCAGACAACAAAAATAAGAAGCAAGCAATTTCAAACTATTTTTAAGCAATCTCAAAAAAATTTATAGTGAAATTTCAAACAATCTCAAACCAAATTTGAACAATAAATATCTGGATTTCAAGATGGTTGATGGATTTTCCCAATATGAAGTTGCGGCTTCGTCTTCTTCATTTCCATCTTCTTCAGAAAGCAGAATTCAATGAGTTTCTTCAAGGGTTTCAAGGGTTTCAATCTTCTTCAGGTGATTTCAAGTGATAGAAGATAGAACATAAGATTTATAATTTGACATTTTACTACTGTAACATGCTAAAAAAATTATAACTTTGACATTATTAAAATGTTATAACTTTGACATTATTAAAATGACAATGACAATTAGAGATGCTTTTAAGAATCTGTGTGTATACTATGGGCGCGGTTTTGCTGCAGTCCTTTATAGTGCTGTTGCTTCCTGTCAGTGATGTGGTCCAATTGAAGAGTGACATGTGTTGTCTTTGCCAGTTAAATAACTAACGGAGAAGACTCACGTTATCTTGTTATTGTTATAGTTTTTTTTTTTCTTATTCTGCTGTCCTTTTTTTTTCCCCTCTCTTTCTGCCTCTCTCTCTCCATTATTTTGTTCTTCTTTGAATCTGTCTCTCTTTTTACATATGGTAATTCAAATGAAAACCTACAACAATCTTCCATTCAATCGATGGTAAAACGAATCACAAATTGCAAAATTTGATCAAAAAAAATGAAATTTTAAATACACATAAAATTAAAACAAAAAAAAAATAAAAATAAATTGACAAGAATGATGTAGTTATGGATGAAATGGGGTTTGGGGGGACTGATTTTTTGGGTGAGAAAGAATGAAATGGTGATTATCCAATCCTCTGTTCTTAACTAATCAACAACTCTCACCATATTTTATCCTCCCAACAACACTTTCTTCTCTCTCAAGTACTCGCAACCTCCATTCACTCTCCTTCAATATCACATCATTCCCATGAAGCTCGATAGGGAGGCTCTTGAATCATCTCTTCCATTCGAGTCCAAGCTCGATACCTCCTCACAGGCCATCCACTGGTTGTCACAACAATACCCAAAAGCCAATCCGCTTCCATTAATGAAGTCAAGATCAGAGATTGGGAGATTTTCAACGATGGGCATGTCATCGTTCATGGCATCAAAGACTTCTTTGATCCAGCCTTAATAGTTTTGTAATATAGTCGATCTTACGTATAATTTTATCAATTTTAATTCTGAAAAAACTCTTATTTATAAAAATAAAAAAATATTACTATTACGTGTGTTGCAAATAATATTATTCTATAAGCATACAAACATTTGGGAATGAATCTAGCCTTTGTACTACATCAATTAGAGTGTTTCTTTAATTCTGAAACAAAACCTAAACCATCAATATTATAGAAAGTATCGTGTTTTAAAACAAGCTCAAGATTAAGACTACTTTTTCATTAACATTTTGAATTTAAATAGAACACTATAAATATTTTCGTACCTGAGTACAATACTCAAATATAATCACCCTAACATTAATCAATATATTAGTGGGGCCTCTATCTATGCAGTGCTAGGCGATGTGCTTGCTTACTTAAAGGACGAGCTGCTATTGATGAGAAAACAAATGAATCAATGACCTGATCATGAGTTGACGCATTCAGAGATCACGGTTAAAAGATTGAATTCACGCTCCAATATCCATGATGACTCGTTCTGATGGTTGATACTTAAACTGTACTCCAGAAAGTACCCGCTGTAGGTGATGAGGGATATAGTGGCTCTGAAAAAATCAAATACAGAAAGTCAATATAATTGTTAGATTCCTATAAATAAAATTCAATTAATGTCAGCAAAATAAAAGAAACAAAGTGAATTCACATGAAGGCAATAAAACCAACTCCATTCCATTAGGCAAACATCGAATGGATCATGAAAACAACCCACAATAGAAATTTGTTCTATGATGGGATTGCAACAATTGTTCTATGGCAAGATTGCAGCAATTTCAAACTCAAACCATAGTTACTGTAAATAAGCTTTACAAACATTATTTCATGGAACAAAAGAGTTTTTAAAAGCAAGATTTCAGTTTTAATGATTGCAATATCTATGAAACAATACAAGCTCCTCCTCAAGCATGGTTTCAGAAGTTTCATAACAAAACATGTAGTCAGACGTAGACACTTATTCTCCTGCAAATAGAACAGCAATAATCTACTTCAAAATCAGAATCGACACTCCTTAGTCCAATCACCACGCCACCATATTACTTTCAGGAGGAAATCGATGGAAACTCCATTGGTCATTAAAACTACATAGTAACTTTATCATCAAATGTCAAAACCTTTTCTCAATGAACTCATAAAAAATCTCATTGCTGCAGCACAATGGGCAGGGGATTGCACAATCACATCAAAATAGGAAGGATGTTAACAAAATACTAATATATATCAATAAAAACACAATGTACATCAACTCCAATGGTGAGCTATCCTTGATGCCAGAGTCAAAATTTGGCAACAACTCTTTCAAATTCATCTTCAATTACTCGCTATCTTCCATGCCTAATTATAGCAATATCAAACTTAGTGCCAAAATTATAGGCATGGAAAATTTGGCACAAAAGTTTAGCGATTGTCAAAATCGGCAAGAGCTCCTCTCTATATCCTTCTTGAGGAAGATGTTAGAGATAAATCTGGAATACTAATCTTATCTCTAGAGATTAATAGAAAAAAGATAATGCTTAGGATATAGTAGATATCCAAACAATCCTCTCCCTATCTCTAATGTCTACAAATATGATTGTACTCTTGTGTGTCCATTTGCATGAGTAAAAATGAAATAGTACTACTGATCTTCTCCTGTGGACATAGGCCATCAGGGATGAACAATGTAAACTTCATATCAAATTGAATAGTTGACCACCAACTCATTTAAAATCAATAGCTTTTAGCTGAGTTGGTCAGCTATTCAACATGGTATCAAAGCAGACAATAGATATTGTGTTTTAACCTTACCGCCTACCCAATAATTAAAATAATTGCACACGTTTGGCCCGCTTGTGAAATAGAGTCCGGCCATATAAATAATAAAGTTAACCCTTTCTCTGACAGCTTAATCTTTTAGATGAGTTGGTGGTCAACAATTTAACAATACATACCATAAACTCAACTAAATGGAAGAAAGGATCGAAGAGAGAGGGAGCAAGAGAAAGAAAAAGGCTATGAAAACTAGAGCATTGTCAAGAAGTAAGCACAATATCAGTGAGCTTACCTGTATGCCGCAGATTCAGACATAGATGATTCTGCAACTTTATCTACCTTGCGAATCACTGCATAACTGCACCGGACACGTGATTTAATAAAAATTTGTGCAAAAGAAAAGCAAAAACCAAGTTTGCTTTCTTAAATTAAAGGTGAATAAGATAACTAATGCCCAAACCATTAGAACAATCTACTCTTAAATTTTTTTTGCATATTGACTCCTTGAAGGGCTAAGGATTTTGATTTTGTGAGTCATCATACTGGAACCTGACTTAACAATGTAACTAACAAATCAAGTGCTGTTCCTTTTTGCTGTCAAAAAATCCAGGTATTTTACTGTATCTTCCAGCACGTTATTTCAATGGTGCCTCTCTCTTGTTTCAAAACTGCCCCATCAAAAATGAATATAGTAATTCTTTTAATATATGGCCAAAATTGGTCATCATGCACTCACTTTCAAATAGCAACAGATTAGATTAGGGGTGGGCAGTTGATGCAAAGTGTTTGGCCATAAAGTTCCTAGAACTTATGGACAAGCAATGCAAAGGCAAAAGGCACTAGTAGAGGCAAGATGACACATGCTCAGAATCACAATCAAGACTCATCACTTCACCATGGCCTACGATGGATTTTGGGCGAATTCCAACATTTAGGTCTTCAATTTCGCGGATTTTCAGTTTTTGGAAATATTTGATTCATCTATAACTTGGTCTAGATGAATCTGATTGTGCCTAGGTTTTTTCCAATATATTTCTTTTTCATTATAGTGAATTTCAGCCTAACTAAAATCGTTCCGTTTTTGGTATTTTTTTTTTTATTATTATTTTATTTGATTTCAGCTTGATTAGCAAGTAATTAGCCTAGGATTTGGTTTTCCTTTTTGCTTTAGGTTTTCTGTGCTATAAATTCACATGAACGCCTTAGGGCAAACCAGTTGATTTTGGAGAATTAATAATATTGTCAGAGAGAGTATCTCTTTTTTATCAAATTCATTGTTGTTCATCCCATTACCCTTCCCTGCATAAGCAGGTAGTAAAATGAAAGTAACAAACCCAATACAAAGCCCATCCCCTTTTGCAGTGATACTGAGGTTTGAGATCAAAAGAATCAACATACTTATGTATCCATATTATAATTAATTTTCAGTTATTTATTAGGTTACATGTTTTTCTTTCATTAATAATTAAGGTTAAAGTTGAGATTAAAGAAAGAAAAAATTATGGCAGGGCTAGGACAGTAATAAAAAATAAAAAAAAGACTACTTCTATTTCCATTGAGCTATCAAAAGGAACACTTGCGACACAACATGACAATAAGTTGATTATGTAGCATCACATATTAGGTGTCCAAAATATCTCCCCCCAACCATCCTAGCATGCCAATGGTAAACTAATACTATCTTAATGGTCCACTAAAATGGTTACTTTTAGGTAAAATTCAAAATGAACTTCACCTTTTAACTCGTGCTGGAGAAGCATTATGGAGTACATGATGATGAGCCGATGCATCATTAACAGATTCTGGGATTATAGACCCAAGAAAACTACTTGGTCTTCTGCTTCTATAAATTTATAAATAAACAGATCAGTATACTTCACAAATCCTTCAAATGAACTACAGCTTCCAGTTAAACATAAATAAAAGTATGTGCCCAATGCAATTCTTGAAGAACATAAAGAAAACAGAATTAAGAACAATGGAATAACAGAAACCAAAAATGAAAAGATGTTAAAGTGTTAAATTAATGCATATGACATATTATGATAATGGAAATTTTATGATTACATGTTATGACAAATTATGATAGATAAGATCCTTACATAGTATGTCATAATGAATAAATATATACAAGTGTATACAAATGAAGTGTATATAAATATGATCACTAACTTGTGTGGCAAACAGAGAAGAGGTTCAAATGCAGTTCACCTTTGATTTAAAGCGAATCCTAGAGGGAAAGCATGAACAGAACCTGAAGAACTTGTGGCTACAAGAATATCTGGAAGTTGCATGGATGGCCCAAATGACAACGAAAATATAGTTGATGGGTATGTCCCCCTTCGGAAGCTATATGACTGCTAAAGATAGAATAGTTAGGTTCCTCAAGTATAATGCAATCAATTACAGATGTGACCCAAAGTAAAGCTGATATGTTGCATTAAATCGGAGCTAAAAATGGTCATACATTATTGACATTAGGCAACAGCATGACAGTACAGAAAAGGGTGGTCTATCCATTTATATGGGCCTCTCACAAAATCTAATGTAATCAATCATTAAATGCAATTAAACCAGGTTAATGTTTATCCTAGTAACTATAAATTGAGCAGCTCATCAAACAGTCAGTTCACTATCCTTCTGCCTTCATCCACAGCAAGGTTGAATGCACCAATTCATAGATACAAGAGCTACTCCCCATGTTGGAAGTCCCATCAAAGGCATATGATATACTTCACCTTAGTCGCATCTGAAACAAGGTGAACTCTGATTATGGTTCCCTGTTCAGATGCCGTTGCTATGTACATTCCATTTGAAGAAAGAACCATCGCAGTCAGCGGTGAGCGATGAGCATCTATCTGTAATATATTAGATTTAATTTAGAAATTAACTCATCAAAAGAGAAATGTACACATTCAAGAAAAAGCTTCAATGTCATTGAAGCATCAAAGTACTATCCACAAACAAGAAAATAAAATCAGGCAATTAAGATTTCTGTTACATGCACTTGGGTATAAGTATTCGGTGCGAGTCCAAGCGTTACTTTCATAAATCTAATCGTAGGATATTGGGATATATATCCAAAAGTTAGATAAGGGTACAGGGAAGCATCATGAACATGACATATATATTGCATATTAAATAATATTCTTAGATAAGATATTGTAAATTATGTAGAAATGTACTAAAAGTTAAATAAGATTTAGAGAAAATATGGAATTTTTATCTCTCAATTATGTGAGAGGCTAGAAATGTTTCTTTGCTTGAAAATGTGAGTTTTTTCTTTTTCAAACATCGTAAGAAATTAGAGGTTCCAAATGTCTAAATTGGATACAGGTGCCCTACACGTATATCACACCTTACCCTTATCATATCTAGTGGACATGGATATTGTGAAGGAAATAAAAGAGTCCCATGTAACATAAGATATATCCAATCCACTTTCATAATAAGAAAAGGAAAGAAAAATATACTTTATATTCAGTGAATGATACCCACCTCCCGCCCCACACCCCCAACCTTTTTATTTTTCCCTTTTATAGATCCTCATTCCTGATGTATGTAAATTGTTAACCATCGGAACTTAAGGAAAATAAGATTTTAATGTTTAAAATGGATCAAATAGTTGAAATTTCAACTAACTTAGTTAATGCCATGTGTTGCAAACTGATGCAATAGGTTTACATATTGCCAGCTGGCAGCAGCAACTATTGAGATAAATTAGTAGCCCCAAACATTTTATACACTGTTGCTGTGCTCGTAAGATCTCATTGCATCTTGCCTTTATTTGAAAGCTGAAGAAGCAACACAGGATTGTAAGCAGTATGTTACATGCTCTCTAAGAATTCATAGTACCTTCGATGCAAACAATGGGAGGTCCAAGAAAAAAGAAATTTAAAAAAGAAGGGGCAAATTTTTAGAATTGGTCATGCTGTGCAGTTGAGAAACTTGTGAATAGAAAAGGAAAAGGACAGACTTTCTATGATTCTATCAGCACTTATTTAACAAAGTAAAAATACCACCCAAAAGTAAAAATACAACCCAAAAAAAAAAAAAAAAAATGAGTTAAAGAATAAAGGGTCATCAGGCCAGCCATCTTCTAACAAAAGGATACCACGTACTCTATTAATGTTCTACTCCAATTTCTATAGACTTCATGAGAATGAAACATAGAAAATGTGTACATTGTCCTATAGGATGTTGTAACATGGGAGAGTTGATATAGGATGTTGTAACATTATTTATGCCATATCTGCACGTGGTTGTTTAATTTGTTCCATGACTCTTTTTGTTCGAGCTGTTTTGGGTTTGATGATGTCTCACTGAAGAGCCCCATCCTCCATATTACACATAAATCAATTACCGAACTTAATTGAAAAGGTTTAGATTCCTAAATTTCCAATAGTACAATTTTATTTATTTATTTATTTATTTATTTATTTTGATTAAGGAGCATACAGAAATATTGAGCTTGATAGGTAAATCTTTCGGCCTAAGCCAATTCTTGTAACAGGTGGAAGGAGAACAAGACTGCTAGTTTCCAGGAAACACAATAATGAAGTTTGGATGTACTCTTTTGTTAATTAAAATATTTATTTCTAAAAACCAGAAGCACTAGAATTCAACATAAGTTACATTATGGCTAAGATACACTAAAAGCTTCTCAAAATAAGGTTTAAGCAGTTCAACTAAAAATAACATAAAAGAGGATGGCATCTGGATTTGAAATCATGCATTAAGCATTTTAACTAAAAAGCTTATAAGAAAATGTATCATAACCTCACAGTGAGAATGGTGTTCCATGACATTGTAGACTAATACAGATCCTTTCGTTGCACTCGCTGGAAGAGCCAAAAAGCACCCATCCAAACTTGGGGAAAATGCACAAAGTCCTGAGAGAGTACCAAATATGTTACAGCAGCAGAAATCAATTTTACAATCCAATTTATTCAGCACATGAGGATCTCAAGGAAAATGCAGATTCAGAACCACAACATTATTGTAAATAAAAAACAAATACGAAATACAACACACTAGCCTTCAATCTAGAAAAACTGTCAAGAATTCAACTATATTTCAAAATTATGTTGGGCATCATTAAGTGATCCATAGTATTGTCCCTTCCTCTCTTGTTGAGACCTTTCCAAACAAGAGCAACTGGGCTCAATTCATCTTGCCACCTAAGCCCCTCTCCATGTAGCATCTCCTACCATTTGTTAGGATTAGTCCACCCATGTGATAAAGGTGGGTCCCATATAATTATTAGGTTTGTTTATACATGTATTTGGTGTGGAACAGTAGAGCTCAAAATCTACAAGGAAACCTAATATGTGTAGGATTTGATTACCTAATTATATAGAACTGGGATTCTTATTGGCAGACTATTATAAATAATCATGTTGACTATAGGGCTTTCTTAAGAGAGATTGAGAGATTGAGGTGAAGGAAAAAATAGATATGTAAGGGGTGAGAGAAAAAATACCTTGAGGGCAACTGGTGAGCAAGGGCTCAACTACCCTTGAGCATAGGGTTCGGGTAGTGGTGTCAGTTTTGAGTGTTTTGTCCATCTCATATGAAGGAAGTCGGGTCTCTTTTCTATGAAGGTTTTGGTTTGTGACAATGGAGACACCACAGGGAAGTGCGGCAAATCTCATTGGCTTAAGCATGAGGACAAAGGAAGCCACGAAGGACACATTTGAGCACTATGGTGTAAGATGCAAATAACGTGGCACTTGATTCAAGGGGGTGAAACAACTTCTAGGTGAAGGTGGAGTGTATCACGCAAACCAGGACATCCAAGTTGGCGGATGCACATGACATTTACCCCACATGACTGGACGAGGTGATTGTTAGGATTAGTCCACCCATGTGATAAAAGTGGGTCCCATGTAATTATTAGGTTAGTTTATACATGAGCTCGAAATCTACTAGAAAACTTCCACCCATCTGATAAAAGTGGGTCCCATGTAATTATTAGGTTAAGTTTATACATGAGCTCGAAATCTACTAGAAAACTTAATATGTGTAGGATTTGGTTACCTAATTGTATGGAATTAGAATTCTTATGAGTAAACTATTATAAATGGTCATGTGACCTATAGGGTTTTCTTGAGAGAGATTGAGAGATTGAGGTGAGGGAAAAAATAGAGACGTAAAGGGTGAGAGAAAAAAATACCATGAGGGCACCTCGTGAGCCAGGGCTCAACTACCCTCGAGCATGGGTTCGGATAATAGTGTAGGTTTTGAGTGTTTTGGCCATCTCACATGTATTCTCTATTTTATTCATAGTAGAAGCACTCTCCTGTGAATGTAGACAATTTGATTATTTTTCTCTTTGGTATGTGCATGGTGTGCTTCCGTTTGCATTGGAGGATATGGAATAAATCCCAACACCATTCACCATGTCAACCTTAGCCTCCTGAGCCATAAATACATAATATCTCTCTCCCTTGTCTTTGATTCATTCCCTCCACTCTTTCAAAACCCACTCCATTGGTGTCGTCTCTATGGAAATGTGAAAATTGTTTCGAAACTTTGAGAATCTTGAACTTGGCAAGTTTGGAAATATATGTTGAAAACATTGGAATTTGTGGTTTCAAAAATGAATTGGTTTGAGAACCATGGATAGAGAATTTTGGAAACAGTAATGGATTTGGGAATGAAAGTGGATTTCTAGATAACAATGAATTCAAGATAGTATATAGAGATGATGAGATTGTTAAGCCAGGCTAAGAGACTCCACGGTGAAAGACCAAAAATTCAAGCAGAGTAGCTACCAATTTCCTTCTGCCTAGCAACCAGTAAAGTAGGAGATTAGATGGATCTTGTGATAGACCACTGAAAAATACACAACTTGGGAATTCACCTTAATTAATTGGAGTTGTTTTGTGAACTAGAACAAATGGTATTTTGGATGAACTTTGATGTGAGCACTGGTTCCATTTGTTGATTGGCCTAGGGCCTTATTTGTTGGTCATGTACCTTCTGTGTAAATGTTGGACCTTATTTATTGTTGTAGCCCGTAGGGCATTTGATTTCATTTGTTAGCTATACTCTTTTGTAAGATGTTGTATATCATGAGATGTATATCATTGGGAACAGAGTGCATGGTTGGATTTACTCCTTAATCTTGATTATTTCCTTATTTTATTTCATTATCCATTTATTTCACCTATTGTCATGGTTTCTTCTATTTCTTATTCATGGGTTTGGATCTTGTGAATCTGGGGCGTGGCAGGCTTACTCTTGCAAGAGCCAAATAAAGCCTCACAAAGACAATCACAATTCTTTAAAGCTTAATTTTATTAAATAGAAGAATTAACAATACTAAAGTTCTCTAATTCCGATAGGACTATGACTCATTTGAGAAACAAAGAAAATTTGGCCACAGAGAATATTCTAAACCTAACAATACTATTAACAACTATATGAGACCTAAAAAAAATTACTTATAGTAAGATCCATGGGTGGTCCTTATAGCCTATATATCCAACAAAATTGAATGTTACCTAACTATCTTTTCCTACTAAAGCCTAGTAAAATAAATACAAAATGTTTACAAGAGCGTACTAAGTTATAAGAGAGATAAATATAAAGACTCAAGACTAATCCAAAGGTTCAAACATGATGCCCTAACCTAGCATGCTCCACATGATGGTAAAAAATAATGAAAAAAATTCAAATTATATAAAATAAATAAATATATATATATATATTCCTTTTCATAAAATAGATATTCTTATGAATAAATTATCTATTTCAAGTTTCTAACTTATTAATCTTGAAATTCAAATAATCAGATTGGAGTAATGTTGCTTGGATATGGAGTTTACAACAAATTTGACAATATTTATCTCAACACCTCTTAAGAAATGGTCCCAGTATTTAAAACCAATTTTATATTTTTTTTTCATTTGGAGTCATACTCTAATTGTATTATACAAATGCCACATCTCAATGTTTAAGACTCAACAGAAACATGTCCAAGTGTATTGAAGAAGGGAAAACGATTGAGACCCCACAATTTTACCTACAATGACATGGTAAGTTATGTGTCAACTTTTATATTCTCACAAACTCAACCATGTAAGGCCCAACACCATTGCCATGTCATAGTGGGTGAAATGTGGGGTTTAAATTGTGGGTCTCTAGCATTTCTCTTGAAGAAGTATCAACTGTCCGTCCAAAACTAAAAGACTAAGGGTTGGTTTGGGAAATGGCTTTTTGAGTGGCTTTTTGGCTAAAATATGAGGTGAACAAAACTAAAGTGTGTTGGGAATTTTTTTTTTTTTTTTTTAGTTGCATTTTTTTTTTTTTTTTTTTTTTTTTGGGCTTTAAACAGAAAAGCGTGCAAAAATAGAGAGAATGAGAAGAAATCTTTGACTTTTTTGTATGACTCTTTGGCTTCTTGGCTTTTTGGCTTTTTTTGCCTTTTTAGTGGCTTTTTGGCTAAGAAAGCCAATTGCTAAATGCTTGCTTAGGTCTCAGTTGGTTGGGAGAATAAAATCATTTCATTTTGAATTATGTAAGTCCAAATCTACCAATTTACAAATGAGCCAATTCAAATATTTTGTAGTCATCAAACAGAGTATATTTTAAATCTCTCAATTTTAAATTTCTTTAAAAGAAATGACCAAATTCATATTTTCACTAAAGAAAAGTTAATTTATTTAGTTTATTTTACATCCAAATACATCTAGTTATAAAATTCACAAATGAGCTAATCCTAAAATTACATGATTCATATTTTTGAAACAATCAAATGGGTCATTAATTAAATTAAGTTCTACACCTACAAAATATAAGTCATATCCAAAAGTATTCTCTCCAATGTTGATGCAATATAGATATAGTTGTTTTTAAAAAGTATCCATAAATACTTAGGTGCTTATTTTAATTAGACAATGGACATTATTACTTTAGGAAACAAGAGAACTCTACCACTGGTGCCCCCTTGAGAAAATTGACAATATATATATATATATATATAAACGTGTTGATTGCACAAATTGTGAATTCAGTCATAAATTGCAGAGCAAGGGATTCCAACCTCACCTTTAAAATTTGGCACTGTATCTATTGTGTCCAAGATATCAAGGCTGTTTATGTCATATATGTATGTCTTTTCTTGCAAAGTAACAACCAATCTGCACATAAAAATACACTATTTCAACAAGAATTGAAAAAATAAGTGAAGTTATTGAATGAGAGAACAGTAACCAGATTCCTACAGTTGGGAAACCTGTTTAGATGTCAAGATCGGAGATATTGTTACCAATTTTAAGATTAACCAATTATTCTACCATTTTCCCCCCCTTTAATCACTTGTTAGTTTCAATAAGATAGTGACAATAAACCAAACCATTGAATCTTTTTACTGCTTTAGTATGATCAAATAGAAAAATACGAGAGAGATAAAGAGAATTTTCTCTCAAAAAAGAAAAACTTGAATTTGTGAGGCCAGCCATCAAACATATTGAAATTATACACTTAAACTTCGACTTGTATTAAACACCCAAAGGAAATTTTTTTTTTCCCCAACTAAGCACACTTCAAAACATCCTAATTTCATGTGATTATTCATCATTACAAACATTTCTTTCCTATCACCTCTGATCCCCCACAGGAAATTATAGTTCTTTACAAGGCTCAGAATCGCAAGGACAATTATCTCACTACATGCCCATGTTCCACACACCTGTAAGGTTACAACTGTAGTCAACATGGGTAATTGATGAAATTGCTACAAGCTTATGAGCATTGATGAAACTCAATCCAGGGCTGGGTACAACCCCCCACAAAATTTACCACATGAGCAAAGGAATCCAGTATCTTGGCAACTCAAAATAAACTAATCTTGAATATCCAGTCGAGCTAACATAATTATAATTAAACCTCCAAGAAACAAAAATGGGCCGTAAATAACATTGAGGGCCATATAAATTTGAAGTGCATTATAATCTCAAACTAGTTTAAATGCAAGGAAAGGAACCCAAAACTGAGGAGAAAACCCATGATGGATTGGTGCTGCATGTGTACAACAGCAGGGGAAATAGTGATTCATCTTCTTTTGCATTATCTAGCAGCTACAGAGGTATGTGGATTGAGCTTTGCATGATATGCGTTGTGGGTGATGCCTTGTTTAGTGAGAGATTTATTTGGATGTTGGAGTAGGCCCAATAGGGAGGGGGTTATGAGCTTGTTCCATTGGTGCCTAAGGAGAAAAAGCAATAGGAGAACTTTTATGGGGTGAAACATTCCTGGCCAAAAAGGAATGTTCGTTGTTTCCACTAATTCCAGCCTGTGCATAGTGGTTGGCAGACAATGTTGGGGGAGGCTGGAAAGTAAATCCCAGCATTAGAAAGCGGTGCTGTCAACAAGCTAGTGCTGGAGCCTTCAAAGATGAAACTCTTTTTTGTTAAGTCACTTCATATTAAATGGTTCCACATGATTTGAAAATTGACTTACCAATCACTGATCGGTAAGTCATTACATGAAAAAGTTTTCAGGAAATAGCTTACCTTGCCAATAAAAAGGTTTACTTAAACTGGTGGACAGGCAAATACCAAAATTTAGGAAAATATTTTCACGAAAAATATTCAACTGCAAAATGAACTGAGCCTTACTGTGACCAAATCTCTAAGAAGCTTTTAGTAATTAGAATATTGTACTGCAGAAAATCTTAAAGGTTATATTACAATTCGCTATTTTTGTCCCAAGTATCATCCGAAAGGCAGGTTTCTACCTTCCCAAATGAACTAATTCTTAAAATTCCTTTGAAAGTTTCCACATAGGTTTCTCATTCAAATTTCAATATTATATTCAAAGTACTGAAGAAGACCATCTTAACATAACCCAAAATTAAGGGGGAAAGAAAAAGATAAAAGGACCACACCTAAAACATGGATGCATGCAAGGAAAGAAAGGACAACTTGGTCACTCAATGGTTTGATCATTCAAGAAACAAAACAGGTTCCTCAGATATTCATCAAATTTACATGTCTGAAAATTATCATCAATGCCTTAACAATACTGCTAATACTTCACTTCAAGTCATGTTTAATGTTAAAAGCACAATTATCAAATTAAATGTTTCCAGTTATCCATAACAGAGCAAGTCCAATGTAGATGTTTTACCTTTTCCTATTAACACGAACAGCAAGGATTGAAGTTAAGAAATTTAGGTCTCGAAGAGCATTTCCAGTTGTAATATTGAATAAACATAGACGTCGTGGGGATAGAGATGCCTGTTGGATTCAAGAAAAAATGGTAATTAATTAATGAAATTTTAAAATTCGATAAAAAATTGTATGTTTACTAGAAGTGCTAAGCCATCTGAAAGTGCACAAATCAATGGACAGCATAGGAACCTGTTCACCAGCTCCGACAATGGCAAGAAGACTTGAGGCATAAAGCATTTCCACAATGACAAATGCTCCAATAGCTGACAAAAGAAAATAGATTTGATTAGGATGATACTAAAAAAACATGAAATCATGTTAGCTTTACTGTATCTCAAATGCACTACATGCATTCAATTTGAAAAATACTATGCATAGCAATCAACATGAGAGGGAAGACGAGTAGGGAGGGGATGCAGGGAGTGTTGTAGTGGAGAGACTAGGCTAGCCAACTTAGATAATCAAATGAGTACCAAACACAAATCAACTGACACGTATCAGTGAGTGAGAGAATGACATTAGTGAAAAATCAATTGTAATTATGAAGTTGAATATCAACCCAAATAAACTCATCAAACTCGTGTCTCAACTCTCAACCAATTTTGATTGGATATGGGAATTCTGTTCAAACTTTTAGGCCTTTAATATTAATATAGGAAAGAATCAGAATAAGCAAGAATAGAAAATTTTAATGCAGTACATTAGTTCGCGGGTTTTCTTCTTCTGTTTGTACAATTTATTTTGAAACTTTTAACTTGAAAAACAAATCTAAATTATCAATGTCCACAAAAATAAAAAATAAATAAATAAATCATGTTTCAGAAAACAATTGTGATTAGGACAATGTTTTTTCAAACTATTATCGTCAAGTAATTTTAATTTTACAAAATAATTTTAAAAAACCAAAAATGTCTTCAAATATTTAAAATTGTTCAAACCTATTTTGAATTGAAGAAATAGTTTTACTGATGATATATATGAAATAATCAATTTTAAAATATTTTAAAGCAGATCGTGTAGTCTTATCATAAGCATTCCCGTCAATATATTTCTTTCTACGAATTATACATTTTTCATGAAATACAACTTCTATTTCTATTTTATCTCCAATCTCTTCAGGTGAAATCATGGCAGTTGTTAATCCATTTTCTCTAATTAAAAAATAAATAAAATAAAATAAAATAAACTTTCATTGATCTATATCAACAGTAATATGAATGACTACCGATTTACTGAGTGGCGAGCTTTGTTTCTTCAATTTCATTGCAGTTGTGACTTTTTTTGGTATGATCTAAGTTACTAAGTAACATACACACAAACACACAATGCAACATGTGACACTATACAAACATGTCAACGTGTCGATTTTCAAAATATCCAGGACACGACACACTTGGTCCACATTAAAATTTTATATTTTTACAAATTAGTAATGTCATATATTTGAATAATTTATTCAAAGATAATGAAAAATATGTAACATAACATTGATTACTCTATATATTTATAACTTAAACATCAAGATATCATTCACATAGAAATCATATTTTAAATAATGCAAAATAATAATAGAACATTGTAATACACATGATGTATTCATCTTATAAATGTTTCAAAACATATTTAGAACTCACAAGTCATGTTATGAATAATGCAGAATATTGTTATCATGAAGGAATTCATCATATAGGGTGTGTTCAGAGACGGTTCAAGAAGTGTTGCCTAAGCAAGATTCTGAAAAGCGATTGCGGTTGCCGTAACGGTAGCGGTGGTACGGTTGCCATTGCAAGGTGTAAAGGCCGTAGCGTAACGGTTGTGGTAACCGGAACTGTGAATTTTTTTATTTTTCGCACAATTTAAAAAAAATTTACCGATACGCATATTTTTTTTCTATAATCATATTTATTAGGTTTAAAATAAATATTTATCAATTTTTGTAAATTTTTAAGTATGATCCAATATATTTCATATTTTTAAATCACTATAAACTGAGTTTTTTACATTTTATTTTAATAATTAATGACTTTATATTATACAAAAAATCAATCACTAACTATTATATATAAGATAAACAATGACAAAAGTAAGAGAATAAATAAGAACCTAAATATATATATACATATTTTTACCAAGCCAAATAGATAATGACCACACTTATTATTATTATTATTATTATTATTATTATTATTATTATTATTATTATTATTATTATTATTATTATCAAACAATATATAGATAGACACACACAAACAAAATAGTTGAATGATAGCAGCTGAATAGAATAGCATAAGTCTTACAGCTTCAACAAATCAATAACATGTTCTTCATCTTTTCTCTTCTCTCTCTCTCTCTCTCTCTATCTCTTGCTCCTCCATCTTCTCTCTTTATCTTCCCTCTTCTCTCTATCCCTCTTCCCCCACTTTCAGCTTCTTCTTTTTTTGTGTGTTTTTTCGAAAGAAGCAGTTTGGAACCGTTACGTAATGGTGCGTAACAGGCCGTTATGGCACCGTTATGACCGTTATGGCAGCAGCTACGGCCGACACACCTATGAATCTCAATCACACTGCAAAAGCGGCCGTAACGGGTAGCGGTAACCACCACAACCGTTACGTAACGGCGTTACGTAACGGTTGCGACCGCTTTTTAAAACCTTGTGCCTAAGTGTCTACAGAGTGTTAGTGAAACGTCCGATATTATGAATTTGATTTTTTAATTAAGACACATTAAAGAAGTGTCTAATATGCTTTAGGACTGTCCAAAGAGTCCACAAAAGAGTCCGTGCTTCTTAAGGTAAGATGTATAGATTAGAAAATATGGGGCATACTCCAATTGGAACCTTAGGCAATGGCATTATGCATGAGCTAGTCCAACAAGCAACCCTTAGGGCTTGTTTGATTTTGCAGATTATAACACATGATTGGGATTATTAACCCATGGGACTCACATTCTATTGTTTAGTTGCAAATTTTATTATTCAGATTAGATTCCAATGGCCATTCTATCTAACAAAATTGATCCATTATTTATCCTATGACTAATAATGTAAAACATACATATAATTGTAATTATATATTTCCATCTCTATTACAAAAAAAAAAAAAAAAAACAACAACAACAACAACGTGGACAGGAGGCAATTATATATCTCACTAATCCTCTGGATAACCAATTATTGTTAGTCCTCTCACTATTAATCCCACTAATCAAACAGGCCCTAAATTGACACTCAAGCGCCAAACAGAAGTATTATCACTCAAACAAGTTTAAAACAATTTTTACAGACTCAATTCATGGGCAAAGCAACTAAATTAAACAACAAAAGCAGCAACAGCGTCAACAACTATCACTATATTAACTAATAAATAATTGAAATAAAAAATTTTAAAAACTTGTATGATGTACTTGCCTCGTTCATAACACAGCCTCCCACTATTGGCATCAAATATTTTGATTCCATCCCTCGTCGCAATTGCAAAGCAACTGAGAAAATTCGGAATAAAATCAATTCCTAAATCAAACTAAATTTCGAATTCACACAACTAAAAATCAAACCCTAATTCGGAAAATCAATATATATAAATTACCTGTTATCCTGATTGAAGGAGGCACAGAGGATTGGATAGGAAGAGGAGGATGACTGATTCACCATTTTTGGAGATTTTGCCGCTAATTTTTTCTCATCGGTTTGTTTTTATATGTTTTTTGAATCATCATCAGGAATTTTGAGAAAGAGAGAATATAAAAGAGAAGAGACTATGCTCATTCATTCCTGATACAACAATGATTCATCCCACTAAAAACATTACCACTAATAGCACTAATGCATTAAAAAAGTAAAAAAAAAAAAAAAAACACAACTCCAAAACCAAAACATCACATCATTAATGACGGGACCCACTGCCACCTAATTAGTGGGAGCACTAATTAGTGCTCCCAAACATTTTTCTTCCGGATACTACCTGGTTTCCTTACACTTCACGGAGTAGTCTTCTTTTTTCTTTTAGTCGTTACATTTTTTTATGTATTTGAATATGACCCCTCAAATTTTAAAAATATTTTAGTTTAATGTATGAACAAAAACTTTTCGTAACGTTGGGTTTACTCTTTAAAGCTCAATTCTATTTTGAGATCATGATTGGAATAAAACATATTAATTAAATATAATTTTAAAATTATTTTCAAAACTTTTCTCTTTATTTTTTATTATTATTAATCAATTAATCAATTATTTTTTCTCTCTCATCTCTCCCCTTTCTTCTCACATTCTCTCACATCTGTATCTATACTATATCTATAAGCAAATGTAGTGATCTCTTAAAAAATTCAAAACTCTAAATCCTAACATCTTATGAACCTCTTTTCTACGTGGCACATCCATTCTTCTCTCATTCTATTTTCCTCTTTTTTCTTATCTTTTTTTATATTTTTCATTTCACTTTTTAATTACTTATGGCATAGATATAAAAGATTTTTAAAATATTTAAAAATAGAAGATGAGTTTGACTCTAATTCAAATTTCTTCATCAAAACTCTCAATCCTAACATCTCATGAACCTCTTTCCTACGTGGCACATCCATTATTCTCTCATTCTATTTTCCTATTTTTTCTTATCTTTTTTTATATTTTTTATTTCACTTTTAAATTACTTATGGCATGGATATAAAAGATTTTCAAAATATTTAAAGATAAAAGATTTTCAAAATATTTAAAAATAAAAGATGAGTTTGACTCTAATTCAAATTTCTTCATCAAAACAAAACTCTCAATCCTAAAGCGAGAAAAAAATAAGTGGAGGGTGTCTTTCCAAATTTAGGGCCCATTCCTCACCCATTATTTTACGAATTTGGGACCCATTTCTAATTTCATAGCTGATTGTATGAGTAATCCGATGGATTAGTTGGATTACAGTATATAAAAGACAAAGTCAAAAATCTTAAATAAGATATTTATACCCAATCAGTTTCTATCTCTAATTTTGTATATTCCTTATAATATAGGGGTTATTTGAAATCATCTAAATAAGTATATATATTTTTTATTTTTTACAAAAATATATGTAAAAATATAAAGAGGTGATGTGATCCAAATAAATACACATATTTAGTTTATGTCAAATAATGGCTAATATTATAATTTTAAGTTATTTATTTATTTACTAGTGTATGCCCGTGCCTAAAGTCACGGAGGAAATAATATTGGGATTATCTTCTCTTGTCTAATCTTTTATGTAGAACATGGAAAATTTATTCACAAAATAATTTCGGAAAAAATTGTTCCTTTCTTATTGCATCATTATTATTCTTACCCAAGTTATCAATCTTTCTTGTTCTAATTGAAAATTATATATATATTTAAACTTCGGCTAAAATTAGAAAAGAATAAAATCTCAGTGATTACAATATTAACAAACCATCTCTAATGTTTTAAAAGAAAAGGCATGGAAAGAAAAATAGTACACTGACGCTTACCCCCATTGTGCAAAATTAAAGTGTATCAAAGCCCAAAGTTTAGCAGGAAAAATGTATCAATTAGTTAAATAAAATATATGATTAGCGAACTCATGAATATATTACCTCTCATGAATATAGTTACAACACTCATTTCATTTTCCTAAGCTTAAGTCTCAAACTTTGCATATTACGCTTCTCTCTTGCTAAAGCTTAATTAATAAACCAATTACAGAGAAAGAGAAAAATAGAAATGGAAAAAAAATAGAAACTAAACCTTAATCAAGAAAATCACCTCTTTTGGGGCAATCAACTAACCCTCCAATCAAGCATGTGTGTCTATGGATTACACCAATCTCAAAACATCAAGCACTATTTATAATAATTGCAAAAGCAAAAATCATCAAGCACTAATTGTAGAAGTTCTAAACACATTATTAGATTTTAGGTTTTAAACACATCATCAAGCACTAATGTTTATAAATGACTCTCTCCATCATCAAGCACTAATGATTCAACAAATATATTTAATTTCTAACATTGAGCAGTCTTTTAGAGACATAAAATTCAGCACTTACGTAGATAATTTTTCAAGAAGCAATTTGTTCACACCATTTCTGTCACGACCCCAAACCGCCCCTAGTAGTTTGGTGCCGTGATGGCCAGTAATCCGAGATTACCGAAGGCCAACTTTCAAGAAATCACACACAATCAGAGTATAATATATAAGGCTAACATGTGCGGAAGCAATACATATAAATCTAAGTAGTCCATAAGAGCCGTGCATAAGTCAAATGGAATGGTATACTTCTTTACATAGCTTTAAAACTTGAATACAAATAAAATAAAGTACAAAAATACATGTTACATCTTGATAAGAGGCTTCTCAAGCCGACATGTTCAAAATACATGAAATACAAGTCAAGAAATATAATCTTCAAAATTGCCGACATAACATGCATACAAAACACACATCTTGGCGTAGTCGACTTCTTGCTTGTTACCTACATATATACATAGGGAGGGTGAGCTTGGATACTCAGTGAATGGTACAAGTAATAAAGTGGTTAAATGAAAGATATCCGAGATCTTTTCAAAACAATACATAGTATATCCTTGTCAAAACCATACATAACATAGCTTAGCTTGACTTGAAATAAAACATCGGTCGAACCTTGGTCTTTCAAAACTTGCTTACTTACTTAACATACGTCAAATCTTAAAACATGGGGTGATGACATTCCGACAAAACAAAAACATAACCTCGGCATCGAGCACACCCGTTCATAATCCGTCGGTGGCCGATATCTTAACAAGGGTGCTACTTAGGCTTAAAGTCCCCTAGTACGGAAGGACTTGTGCTACCTGGGCTTAAAGTCCCCTAGCACGGAAGGACCCTCAAAACAAGATGTGCAGTTGCATTATAGTCCCCTGACACTAAGAACTTTCAAAACAAGATATGCAGTTGCATTATAGTCCCTTGGCACTAAGGACCCTCAAAACAAGATGTGCAGTTGCATTATAGTCCCCTGGCACTAAGGACCCTCAAAACAAGATGTGCAGTTGCATTATAGTTCCCTGACACTAAGGACTTTCAAAACAAGATGTGCAGTTGCATTATAGTCCCCTGGCACTAAGGACCCTCAAAACAAGATGTGCAGTTGCATTATAGTCCCCTGGCACTCTGGACCCTCAAAACAAGATGTGCAGTTGCATTATAGTCCCCTAGCACTAAGGACTCTCAAAACAAGAGGTGCGGTTGCATTATAGTCCCCTGGCACTAAGGACTTCCCGAGAATGTCATCAAACAAAGCTTACTTGATACATAAAAATAGGGGTAATCATTCATGCTTGATCAAATACTTTTATCAAAACGAAACAAGGCTTTATCAAATCTTTATAACCTAACTTTATTAAAAATACCACTTACATAGTTCTTGGGACGTCGAGGTCAAAGCAAAGGTCCAAGTCTTACAAACACATAACAAAGTCTACTGAACGTACTTCTCAAAACAAGTCTCACATACATGCAAATGATCTCGGGAAAACATACTAGAAGTCAAAACACTGTTTTACATGTCAGGAAGACATGCTGGGTACCAACCAGGTCTTTGCTGAGGTCCCACACCTCCTGGCCGAGGTGTGGTTACCTAGGCTTCAGCATGCGGCTGCATGCCGAGGTGCGCACAAAACAAACTAAAGGTGTAAGTGATCATGCAAGGTAGGCCAAGGTGAGATACGATGCTTGGCCTAAGTGTGAGGTCTAGGTGAGAGTGATCTCGGCGACCACACTTAGGGAAGTGAGGTCTGGAGATCTGGGTTTTCACCCGTGAAGAACAAGAAGAACATAAACATGAAGATCATGAAGAATATGAATGCTAAAATCATCACTTCTTTATTACAAAAATCTGGGATTTCATGCTATGAGTTCAAAAACATGGACCTAGGTACCCATACTTGAAAAATCATATGAAAACAAACACAAAAACATGGATCTTGGCATGAGGTTTCGGATCAAAACATGACTTTTCTTGAAGAACACATGAATGCTATTTTCTCTTCTAAAATCGAACTTCAAAGCAACGCATGGCTTACAAATCATATTCAATCATGCACTGCAATAACATGAACATAAAGAACGACAAGAGCAGACCAAGAATCTAACCTTAGCACACGGATCTAACGGTTCGATCTCTAGGGATCAAGCTTGGAAATCTACTCCCTCTCAAGAACTCCTCTTCCCCACCTAGAGCTTCTCTCTCCTCTTCAAAACAAAGATATAGAAATGATAGGTTTTCTCCCTCTGCCGGCTGACTTAACACTCAGCTTGGACACGTGGCAACGGCTGGTTGGCTCTCCTCAAAAAGGTGATAGATTGACAAGACAAGACTATGACAAAGTGTATCTAACAAGCTACTTCGTGAGGCACTCTGGCAAGTGATGACATCGGCTAAGGACAAAGCTTCGGCAACTAAGGTGACAATGACCTCGGCTAGGAAGAACAACACTTGACTAAGCTGTGCCACACCTTGGCCTAGATGTGCCACACCTCGGTCTAGGTCATACCACTCCAGGACAAGATCACTTAGGTGCAAAGGTAACATCTCGGCCTAGATAATACACAACTCGGCCTTAGTGATGAGCACCTCGGCCTAGATAATGATATCTCGGCCAATATGTCAAGGCGAATGTGAAGGTCAAACAAAGTGGTTCCAAGATAATTCTAGACTGGAGATGACCTCGGCTTGGAATGATCTACGCGTAACATAACTTAGGCTTGAGACACCAAAGAAGGAACAAAGCATGCACACAACACTTAGGC